CAGTGTGCCCTTATGTTCCCATCAAAACATTTGTTTTGAGCAGGTAGTGAGATGCAGTATTTTCCTAATTTTTTGGATAATAAATTAGTTAAAACTGTTCCCCTGTGTGACTGTATTTCTCTTTAAAAAACTATGTGATTGAAGACAGTGCACAAGTATAAGATATTCATTTGCTTCATATGTTAGACAAAAATGCTTTCTGATAGCAAGTGTTAACAGGACAGAATTATGAATTGAATTGGTCGTGAGCCCACGGTGTTCACTGGAGTTCTGGAGTGTTATCTTTGATTAGAGGGAGTAGATGAAGGATATCTCTGCAAAAATCATGATTCACAGATAGATTCACAGAATCCCTCCCATTTGACAAACAGACTGTTAATCCCTTATTTAATCTTGTATTTCAGGCCAAACCGGTGCGGTTCTTTCTGCAGCCTTTTAAGCACCCTTTCTGACTTCAGAGAGCCCATGAAAAAGTCATCATTCCCTCTCAAAGGCAACAGTTGCCTAATCTTTCCTCTGCCTCTTTTTCACTGCATTCTCGTCCCTCTGCATTCTCACCCCACCTGCACAACCCCAGGGAAATGGACTTATTCTCCTCCCACCCCCAGAGACTTCCTGTATCTGCTATCATAGCAGCAACATTTGTCTTCAATTGCAGATCCAAGGATGTTACTGTCATAGTTCCAGGTGATTCTGAACATTACCATTGTTTTCTTCCTATTAGTGCTACTACCTGCCTGAGTTGAAGCTTTACATTGCATCCTTTCTCTTACTGTACATGAAGCTTTGGGTTACAACAATCTGTTTCAGTCCTGGTGATTTGATTGGTCTGTGGTTTTGTAAACTTCATTCCTGATGAGATTATTAAAAGTGACAAATAGAGAAATCATACAGTGTTATTAAAACAGAGCCCTCTCACGAATAACAATAAACCCAAAACATTTAAAGAAAGTCTGGCAATCCATCTTACTTAAATTCTACTACCACCTATTAACAGAATATCAGTTGCTTATTATTGGCCGTTTGCTTGAGAGCAGCTTTCCTCTTGTCATTCCAGTTTGATTCTTTGTCTTGCATCTATCTATTAAGTTCATATATTCATGCAATAAATATCTCAGTATTCCAGTTACCTACAGCATTCATAAACAAAGAAGCCGCACATCTATTCAAATTTACTTTAAAGTCTAAATAAATAATTCTAGATCTTATTTTCTGTATGGTATTGTATGTCAGAGACTCTTTTCAACAAAATTTTCGATCTAGAATTGAAAATGTAAGCTTATGGTTGTCACAAGACAAAGGTTCAGTGCAGTTAAGATTACATCACACTGCAGTAATGCTGAAGAGCTCTACCTGTAGAATGGTGCTCCTTTGTGCTAAGTAAAAAAGATGTCCCCCCAAATTTCCCATTCATGTAATGTGATGAAAGTCCCTAAAGCACAACTGAAAACTGGGAAAATTGATTTTTCCACTGAAAATTTTTCATCTGATAGTTACTATATAAGGCCAAATATTGATTCTCCATCAGAAGTGCATATCTTTTAGGAACTAAATGGTTCCTCTATATATGCATAGAGTCACAGAATCACGAGGATTGGAAAAGACCTCCAAGATCATCCAGTCCAACCATCCACCCATCACAGATGTTTCCCACGAAACCATGTCCTTCAGTGCAACAAGTAAGTATTCCTTGAACACCTCCAGGGTCAGTGACTCCACTTCTCCTCTGGGCAGCCCATTCCAGTGCCTGACCACTCTTTCGTGGGATAAGTCTATATTACAGATTACTTATAAGATGGACAACTGTGATCTGTGGGCTCTGAATTCAAGGTGACTGAATTTAGATGCATATTTGTTAATACTCTCAGATTTTTTAATACATATAGATTATATCCTAAACTGTACCTGCTTAATATACTTTGTTTTGCACACTTTCTTTTGTATATTTAATCACTATAGAAAAGTCATACTATTTCTTAAACGTTAAGATATTCATTTTAAAGTGTATTAAAATAGCAGTCTTGAAATAACTCTCTTTAACCGAGAGCAGTTTATTTTTATGTGATCAGCCATGAAATGAATGCATAGATACGTGTGTTTAAGTACTCATATACATATATGTGTGTGCATTCACTGTGTACATATATATATATATATGCATTCAGACATTTTTCTGTTGAGAGTTTGAAACCAAGTACTGATAGTAGCAGTTTCCTCCTTCAAAAGGAGTGGAAAATATTTGGTAATATTTTCCAGACCATGGTTGCACCTGCTCAGAATGCTTAGTGATTTTACTTTCCAGTAATTGAAAAGAAAATGCATATTTATTATTTGATTAGGACACCACAAACTTGTTAACTTTTATATATGGATTCATATTCTTTTATAGCTTTTGGTAAGCTACATTTTGTATGTAAAATACAAATGTATATAATGTATGGTTCTGCAATACTAATTAGAATTCTTATCAAGGGTTTTATCTTGTCCCATACACATGTATTTATAAAAACTATGTGATATATTGCATATGTCTTCTTCTGTCTTGTCTTTAAATTCGCTTTTCTCCCCTGGCATATCATTTTTTACTCAAATTTGTGTGTAGTGTATAGCTTGTTCTCAAAATCTTACATAGGTGAAATACAGTACAGCAGATGCTTAAGAACTTTGTCTGCCCTTGAACTGAATAGGACTACTTATCTCTACTATTTATATTCACAGAAGTAGTATAGGTTTGAATGCTTATGTTGTAAACTTAGATACAAGATTTTATGCATATAACCTTACTCAAATAAATAAAAATAGTAATAGCTTAAATTTTGTTCTGTCCTCCTTCTATACAAAATACAAAATCAAGTCTCTATTAAAACATTGTATTATGGAACTAGAACATAGTAAGAAAAACACTCTGTAGTTCAGGTCTTTTAAAAATGTAAAACAAGGCTATGGATACCTTAGGCATTTTCAGCCCTTAGTTTCTTATTCTTTAGTAATGAACATCAAAATGATGACATTAACATCTCTTTCAAGTCAGCTAAGTGATACTGCAGTATTATGAATCATCGCTGTAACACTGAGCTGCTTTTCAAAAGCACAGTTTTGTGATGATAAAAGGTTTGAAGGTGACAAGCCTGCAGATCTTATTCTACTTACCCACAGAACATAGGGAAAGCTTCACTTGAAAGCCATCTTTCTCCTAAACAGTACTAACCATTGCAGCCATAGAGGATGTCATTCTCTAATTCATTAAGGATGACTGTAGTGGACAAGCACAGTTGCCCAGTGGGAAGATTACATTGTACGCAAGTCTTGAATGACTGTTCCAAGTTACAGAGAGAACAACTGGAAGCACAGGGGAAATTCCTGATGCCTCGTCTGCGGTACCAACAAGCTACAAAGCTCTTTTCCCATAATCAATGTGGTTACCATCAACTGATTACCATTAGCTGATTTACCATTAACTAGCAAATTCCTGGCTCCTACAGATGAGTGGACAATCAGGCCAGTGTAGCAAAACCCATTTGCTTGATCAAACTGCCACATCCTCCAGATTTTCTATCCAACGTGATACTGAAAAGCAGAGGTCCTCACATGTTTGCTTGCCATAGTTTCATACTGTCTCTATATAAGTATGGGAAGAAAAGCTGTGGATGAGGTATAGATCTTCATTTGGGTCCCATCACAGGGGACTTTAACTATGTTATTCAGGATTATAATTAATCCTGCAAGTTTTTATTCACAAGTTCAAAGATTTATGGGTTCTGCGTGGCCATCTATTGGGATGTGTAAGTGTGTAACATCTGTGTTTTCAGAGCTTGGGCATCATCACAGGGAAAAACCTAGCACAATTTTATTTATGGCAAATAAATTGGTCATTGCCAGCCTTAGAGAATATGCATCATTGTTGATTCTGCTGCTTATCACTATTACTTTTCATCAGCTGCCCTACTCAATCAGTGTTTGTCAGTCAGGCTATGCACAGGTAGAATGTAAATGTGTCTACAGGTTCCTGGCTGCACCAAACAGACCATCAAGGGCAGGTTCCAGATAACCATGGAGACATAGTTATGAAATAGTACCACAGCTGTCAGGTATGCAGTAATGAAAACATAGAAATGCAGCCATAATTTGTCTGAAATATTGCGAAGCCTTTTCAGTCAGAATGGATGCTGCAGAACAAAGCTGTCCAGGCATCCTTGATAATGCAAACTGCTATTAAATATGTGGGCAGTGTGGATCCTCCAAGATAAAGTGGTATGCACTCCAAGTGCATACCATTTGCCATCACATGGAATGGCTGCTGACAGCACTTCACCAACAATTCCTTCTGGAAGCTGCAATGATGTATTCTTGCACAGCCTGCCACTGACTGACCTTGTTATCCAAATGATACTGTTTAAGCCAAGAGTTAAGCATGTGAAGTTATGCTTGGTCCTGTTGGGTTCTTCTCAATAGTTCTTGGTCTAAGAGTTGAAGAAATCAAGTGGAACAAACAACCAATGTCTGTATCTCTCCATCAGAAATATTTGTAGAGGCAAAAATGTTTATGCTTGGTAGCTTGGTAGAGGTAAAATTAACCAGAGTTTCCCTGTATCTAGCCTACTGAGATACTTGCATTTCAAAAAGGCTCTCTTTGTGTGAATACTTAAGCTACAATAATTCTTTTAGGCACCATACCTGAGAAGTGCTTGGTGAGAAGCTAGAGATGGAATGACTTCACAGCTGTCAGTAGACATGTGTGAAATAGCATAATCCTTGCGGTAACATGAACGACCTGTACAGCAGGAGCATAGCATTATTTTTTGGGGGGAGCACAATACTATTTCTAGGGTGTGTAGAGAGCAGAACATCACTCACCTACTTACACCTGGATGGAATTCCTAGGAAGGAACAGGCATCCTGTCAGTGCTGTGATCATGCATGACATGACTGGGTGTAACCTAGGCGGTGGCATAATTTCTTATCAAGATAAGCACCTATGACTGCTGCTTTACAAACAAAGCAGTACAAGTCACTGTACTTTGCCCTATGGACTTCCATTTTCATTCCACGTGAGTAAGACTAGAAGAGTTTTCCTCACCTCAGGAATTTTTACCCAGCCAGTGCTCATCGCCTTGGTTCCAAAATGCAGAATTCTGCTGGTTAGGGTAGAAGACGGGGTGAAAAGCTGGCATTTATGGTCAGTGAGGACAGCCCTCCTGTGTCCTCAGGCTGCCTCAGCACCAGACGAGGCCTGGATGAAGTGCTCATGACTGGACACAGCCTGGAGAATTGTGGAGCAATTTTGAATCTCTTCTGTAGCTCAGAGTAAATTAGGCAACTGTATTTAAATTCCACCCTCATGTGTTCGTCGTTTTTTTTGTTGCTGTTGTTGTTTGTTTGTTTTTCCATTTCTTGAAGTTGAATAAGCACTTCACGTCATCTTAAATGAAAACCTCTGGTAGATCATTTGCTCTCTCTTCTTACAGCAGCTGGTAAGTATTTCTGTGAGCAAAGTCAAAGGCATGAAAGTGGTGCTTTTAAATCTTGATAAAGGTTCTTGCCTTCTCGAATGTGCATGTTTTATCCTGCTAAAGCTGCAGATAAACGTTCCAGTGCTTGTTGGTCTTGTGGTTATGTAGGATGAAGCAGGAGGCATGAAGGAACTAGGTATGATCCAAGGAGTTGGAAGGGTGCATGAAAACATGAGGAGGGTATAAAACACCTGAGAAGGATATAAAAGCCTAAACAACTCCAATCTTGTGTAGATTGTGTCCATGCAGGGGTAGGGCCTGAACTCTAGTTTCTGGAGAACTGGTTTCTAGGGAAAAGTTCACGGCCTGGGCTTTTCTCTAGTCTTTACCCAGATTTCTCCACATCAGTAACAATTTATTTTGTCCCAGAGTGGAAGCTAATTGTATAATAATATAAACATAGTAGAAATTCAAGGGATGAGTGCTGTACAAGATGTGCCTTGCTAACACACAGTGCTGTCTGACATGACTGCGTTGGAACTGGTGATTGCTTTCTGATTCTTGTTCTTGATATACTGGGAGAAACTAAACATTGTGTGTCTTTTTTTAGCAAGTAAACAATATTGCATCAAGGATGCACTGATTCTCTTACCAGTTGCTCATCTTGACACAATCTGCAGGATCATAAGTGTAGGATAACTGCTTTAGGCAGCAGAGAAAATACTAACGGAAACTCATTTAAAATTCTATTTGTGGTGCTTATTTAAGGTTCCTGAACTTCAAAGCCAAATACCCTGTGTTTCAAATGTAAAGTTAAATCTTAATTTGCTAGATGAACCACTGTCTGAAAATACACAAAGCATTTCCTCTTTGAAATTACACACAGAGCACTTCTGTGCTTTGAAATGATTCAAAGCAGATGAGGAGTGAAAGAATCGTTAATGGGTTCTTCAGATAAAGCATTACAAATATGGCTGTGAGACCTGTTTGGAAAATGAGATTAAATAAATTTTCAGAGAAGTTTGTGCGCTTTTCACAGAAGTCTTTTGGCAGAATTTCTGATGAGCTTCATAATTAAGCAACAAGTCTTTTAAAACCATGTTTGCATTAAGAAACCTCTGTAACCATATTCATACTAGGGCAAGGCGCAGTACACAAAGGGTTTTCATGGGTTATAATTAGTTTAGGTTACTTTCCATTAAGTATTAGCAAAGGCAGCCCGTGTGCTGGCTCATGTTTCAAGTGACCCTGCTGTTGCTGTTCTTGCAGCAATAGCTTTGGGTAAGTTACCTGCATGACAATGTCTAAAAAACCTACCCAACAGTGTTAAGTAATGCTCTCTGCATATTTTTGGTCACTGAGCTATATATGTCATCACCCTGTCTTGTTATCAAATTTTAAATTGAAAATAGGATAAAAGCTACAGGAAAATTGCAAGATTATATTCCGTAAGAGATTTCGGCTATTTGCAAGCAAGTCTCTTTGCTTTGAAAAATTGCAATGTTAAACCATATTTTTATGTATACCAGTGCCACTGAAAAAACAGACCTGTAACATCAGAAACTGTTAAAAACTACTTTCCAGTCTTCAAATTGACTCATATGTTACTGCTATCAGCAGCACATTTTACAGGCTGTAGATTCTCAGGTGATTCATTTTGAAAATTACAGAAATATTATATGTATATTTTATTTCATAAATTTTCTTGACACTTGTGAAGGCGAAACAGTCACACTGATGCTTCTGAAGAATATATGAATATGAATATGAATATAAATATAACAACACTAAAGGATTAATTTTTATCTGGAGTAGTTCAGCACAGCTGTATGGACACATCCACTGCACCTCAAAATTGAATCTTTCTGGCACTTAAACAGAGCGATAAACTGAGTAATTTACAGTGTGGATCTTGAAAGAATCTACACTCATCTTTAAATATCTGCAAAATTTACAGATTTGCTTTCTTATTTTGAAAACCCTAAGGTAATATAAAATCCTTTGCTTTACATGCTTCCTTTTTCAGGATATCAAAAGTGATTATATTGACAGATTATAAAAATGCTTTATAAACCTATAGTTCGGTCAAGAGTTTAATGTGAAGGTACATAATCTTGCAAGGATATTTAATTGTTCTGTTGACAAAAATTAGTGAGATGCAATGGAGAAAATAGAAATAAAGCTATGCTTAATCCAAGCCTATCATCTGTAATATTAAGAGAGCAAACATATATATGTATATGTATATATATGTATATATATATATATACATACATATTGATGCTGATACTGAGATTCAGTGGAGTCTGCATCTTAAAAGTGTACAAAAGTATTACTTATTTATTGTGTTTTTGTTTTTGTTTTAAATTTACGAAGTTAGATTACATTATTTCAGAAGAAGAATAGAAAAGTGAGTTTTAAGGATGAAAACTGAGGAAGAGTTTGAGGAGCAATCAAGAAAAACAGCATGGATGTAAATTGAAATGAGCTAGTGAAATGAGCTACTGACGTTCTGAAGTTGCCAGAAGGTGCAGTCAGATAGAGCAAGGAAGCAAACTCTAGGAGAGTCAGCCCAGCTTAGAGTTGTGAGATGAGGACTGAGCTCAGGGAGGACAAAGGCAGAGAGAAGCACATTGTAGACAAAAGAAAGAGGGTGAAAATGAAAAAGCCCAGGATGTGCATACAGTGGGGTGGTACAAGGAGATTACTCAGTCCATCAAACAGGCCATGTGAAATACAAGACTACTTCATTATTAAATTCAGTCTGTAACTGAACTTTTCTTGCTTCATGTTGGGTTAGAGATAATTTGGTAAAGATATGTGGATGCTGGTAACTTTTTTTAAGTATAGATGTACAATGTTTAACTCTTACGTTGGTAAACAGTAACTAACTTTGTTAGTAGATAAGGATTAAAGTTAAAAACTAGTGAATCACTAAGTGATTTGTCAGGGAAGGGTACTCCCCTGGAGAACATCAAGTCTTTTAGCGGAATAAAGTAACACCCCTCTCAAAATGCCTTTCACCTACCATGAATTGTGAGATTCAACGGAAAAAGAGCACATTCCTTACAATGAGTGATAAAGATGACTCTTAGAAACAGTCTACTACACTTAGTAGATGCCTCTTGCTCACCTCATTGCTCATAGTCACAGTACCCAACAACGGTCCTAAAAACTACACACAAAAATGCTTAATGACTTGATGTTTCTCTTGGCAAGAATTGATCACAGTTTCTGTATTCAAAAATATTTTTTTTAGTCTACTTTTCTGAAAATCATTTTTGCCTAGATAATGGTGCAGTCTGTACATCAGTGGGGACAAGATAATCAGGTTGTTTTTGTCCACCCAACTCCGCTAATGTGAGTGGTGCTGCACAGATGTATACTTAATCATAGAATCACCAAGGTTGGAAAAGACATCCCAGGTCATCTCGTCCAGCCATCACCTACCACCAGTGTTTCTCCACTAAACCTTGTAAAATGATATTTTACATTAAACTTAATAAAACCACATCTAAGACCTGTTTATCGAACCTTTCTGATCACCACTGTGATGGAAAGAATAGTTATTTTCCTGAATATGTGTATATTTTTTAAATACAATACTGCTTCCAACTTCCTTGTCAAGACACAGGAGTGCAGCTCAGAATGTGGCAGCGTCCTCACATCAATAGTGGGTGCCATTTTAATGGCTGAAGACAGCAAAGCATTTTAAGTCATTCATTTAGGTTCAGTATATAACACTAAAAATACATGTGAAATAATAAGTTGTGCTTCTAATGTGAAACCATATTTTAAAAAACCTGGTTATTTAAAAGTGATCGTGACACCTCAGTGTCCTGGAGAAACACTGCAAAGGATACCCTCAGGCACAACAGGCATTTCATAGGCCATGTAAGTATCTTAAAGGCTTTTTAACACTAATCTTGCACCTTGTCTTATCTGTACCGTTATCCATCACATCTACATAAGGTACCTGGTACTGTTACTTGAAACTATTTCAGAACAAAATAAAAGCAGTTGAAAAAGCTAGGCAAAGGAACAAGTGCTGGTTACTGATTAACAGCCCTACCAGACCATTTAGTTAGTGAGCTGCTCACAAGTCCCATGAAGATAGTCTCTCTGCTTTTTAGATATCCTGATGGGACAAAGTGGAGAAGGTGCTGTAAGACCTGAATAATCTTGGTACTTTTCCCTTGTCATCCCAAACAGGCCACGATCATTTTGTCCTCAAGCTCTTTTCCAGGTGGTCTTGGAGATGGCTGGGGAATCTAAGCTTAAGCGTGCCCCTAGCACAGGGAAGCAACATACTGTGCAGAAATTAGCCATTCTTGAGGAAGTCAGATAGCAAAAGCTACATTTTTACTGTAAGCATCTGAGTTTTTATTGTCTCTTCAAGTTCAATGACAAATAAATTAACAGAGACATAATCTATTACTGACATTATAGAGCAAATACAGTGATCTGAACTTACAGGTCAAAATTTTATCTTATAGGAGACTTTCCCCGTAGTTTTATAAAATTAGCACAGTGATCACAAATGGTTGTAAGGTGTGTTTTCTATCTCATCTGGAATAGGTGAGTCATCCTACTTTTATACAAAGGTAATGTTTAAATTACTTATTTCCTAACTAGTCAACATATCATATCATATCATATCATCAACAACATATCTTGCTGTGCAGCTAGGGGCAGTGTACACAGATTGAAACTACAAGATCAAGAGTTTCTATAAGGTATTTAGAGCCAGTATTTTGACACTACTGATAGTCATAGTCAAATAGCTTGCTATCCACTTACACTTTTATGAATCTAAAAAATTTAGGTGCCTAAATGTTTGCTAATAAAATCCCACTGGACATAAATTCTGTACACTGAGGGTCAGACTTTCCCAACATCACACTAGGGAATTTGTGGCAAAATACTGAACTGAAGACAGCTTTTGTCCCAAACTAGTTTCCTGAACTTCAGACTGTCTTTCAAATCCAAGTAATCTAGTAGTTCTTAAGATGTTTTCAAAGATTCTTAGAAATAAAGGATCCCTTGAATACATCTGTCTGAATGCATAATTCCAGATTGGTGTTAGAAATTCCCTTTGCAGTAAAAATACTACAGGCAGTTATAGGCCTGGATCAGAACTCAGCCACATTTCTCTATTCATATTCCTGTTATCTTAAAAATATGCACTTGGAATTGTTCAAGAATTTTGCAATGAAGACTATTGTTAATTGGCATATAGATCGATATCTAAAAGCAAAGAAGATGGGATGAGTCAGAGACAGTAAGTTAGAGTTCAAGAAAAATGTGCAAGCTTATTTCTTTTGGCTGACGATGTTATATAAATATGTCAGAATTAAGAATTGAAGATTTTTGAAGTCCAGATACAAAGCTCACTTAAATCAACCTCTCAGAATTCTGCAAGCTTTGGGAAATATTTTGGGCAGACAGCATATGATACGAGTTTAATTTCAGTCAAAATACATAATTGCTCTTTCTTCAAGTTAATTAAGGTATGAGTTACTCAGAGGTACACATTTTCATAATGAAGTGGCTCAAATGCATTCCACTATGGAGTGAAACCTTCTGCAATCATAGTTACAAGTACAAAATGTGGATCTTTAACAGAAAAGTTAACTTTTGCTGGAAGGCTGTAACATTTCATTGCACGTTAATTTACTGGCACCTTTAAAAAAAAAGAATAACGCATATTCTATCATAGAATCATCATAGAATCATAGAATTGCTCAAGTCAGAAAAAAACTTAAAAACCATTAAGTCCAACTGCAAAGTAACCTTACTACCCTAACTGTAACAACCCTCCTCTAAATATGTCCCCCAGCAAAAGGGAATCATCATCATTGCTTCTCATGACTGACATCAAGAATGGCTCCTCCTGAATTAAAGAAAAACTTGGAGGATGGTAATTCAGTTGCTTGGAGGATAGTTCAGTTTCTTTGCTTAGAGTGAGCATATGATTAGATAAACAAGCACATTATCTCTGAATTAGATCATGAAAAGCAGCCGAGGTTAAAATGATAAGGAGCCAAATTATTATTTTACTCTAAAATACATTTTACTTCTTCTTTACGGTGTTATGATAAACAATTTTAATTCTTGATACTTTAGGTTAAGAGAAAAATATTTCAACTTTAATAATACTGTAAAAATACACAATTTTAATTTCCAATATACAACAAAAGAGTAAGATACTGACTGTAATTTGGGTACTTATCTCTATTCCTTCTCCAGATTGAATGAAGTACGACTTAAACTTCTACATGTTTGTTTTCCCAGTGGGAGAATAGCCATAGGATTGCTTCCACATAAAGAATATTTGAGAAGTATAACAGATGTGAAATACGTTAAAATGACATTTTCTGAACGTAGTCTTTTTTTTTTACCACAAGGTTGCATTGCTAATTGTCTGAAAGCATTTTCAACAAATAAGTAATAGTATAGAATATATCTTGTAAGTTAATCCATTTATATTTTGGCAATTCTAATAACATAGCAAATTTTGGAAGAGTGAAGTCCAGAAAACAAAAATTCAACTACGAAAAAAGAAATGTTTATTAGGTTATAGGCTTGCAAAACTTGGTTTTTTATCCTGAATGTTAATGTGCACATCTCTGGCAAATTTACTGAAAGGTTCAGTTTGCTTTTATTCAGAAAATGTCAATGAAGTAACCTTTTAACTTTGGTTTGCCTGTTGGGTTATAACTAAAAACTTCTGAGTGATAATAAACTTTGTTTGGGGCATGAGAAGGAAATTTAAATCATGTTCTCCAGCAATTTAAAATGTTTTTTACAAGTATTTAAATTTGTAACTAACATCTTTCTGTTAAGGCCGAACAGATGCTTTTGACTGGAGGTTTGAAATCTCTCCTTCCTCATTTGCGAAGAATAATTCATTGCAGCAGAGTTCATAACAGGAATATTTCTGGAATGGCAGAAGGTAAGGCGACCTAACAGCTCCATATGGAGAGAGACTCTGTTTCGGACTCACAGCAACGTCTTTGCATATATTTTTTTCTTTTCCTGTTCATGATGTTTACAAAGGAATGTAGAACTCTCAAAAGCAATGAAGTAAATGAGATGAAATGTCAAGTTGACTTACATTCTTAACTTGTCCGGGTTTTTTTTAAATCACATTTTATTCCCCTGACACTGTGTTCTTAAATCACAAAGCTGGATTAGAGAAAATGTATCATCCTACACATGTAAAGTACTTGGACTCTGTTATGTCAGTGAGAACTTATGGATGCAGAAAATATCTGAAAAAAGGTAAATCTGGCTTTCCTTACACACATTATCATCACATTTATTAGGCCACATAATGTGTTCATCACAGACCTTGCTTTAATTAGTGCACAGAGATGTATGGTCACAGAAGTGATTTTTCTGATTCATTTGTTGCACTATACTTCTAAAGTAAGTATTTCTTGTTGCCTTCACTGTCATCCACAAAATAAATCAAAAAAGTCTTTCAAAATTTCTCTGAACTGGGACAACAGTGTGTTGAACTCATGCCTTAATTATCAGCATGTCCAGCTTAGCTAGAACTGTTCAGGAATATATTCATAGTGATGGATACATAATGAAAGTATACACTTCAGCTGATAAGAGACGTGAAAAATATCTTTTCATTATACAAAAAATAAGGATAGTTATCAGGAGGAAGAATAAAGGTACCTAAGAGTCGGTAAAAAAAGCTTCCTGGCTTTAGAGTATTCCTGGAAGTTGCCTACAGACTCAGTCTGACAGAAGTGAATAGCATTTCAAATTCAGTGCTCTCCAAGTTCAATTCACTGACTAAGGCCATAATTTTAAGAATCTGTGAATATAATCAGCACAGTAGAAAGTGCCTGTAGGTTTCACATGGGCAGTAGGGAATGAGGCTGTAGGGTAGCTCAGTGTAGTCTTTTATTCTGTGGTTATATTTAGTATGCTTATTTGAGAAAAATTATTTTCTGTATTTAGCAAGAAGCTATTTCTGTATTTAGTAACTTTCGTTAGTAATAAAAGGAATTTTTGTGCTGAATAGTCCCAAAGGAGCAGTTTGTGGTCACATTCAGTATGCAAATACATGCTTGCCTCAGTTTAAGCCTTACTTTTACATTTTTTCCATGAGGAACAGCATTTTATCTTTTGGTTTCTTGGTTAGCTTTGGTCAAAAGTAGAATTTGGCTGTTTTCTACAGGTTTTGAAGAAGATCATTGATTTCAACTGCCTCTTGGACGACAGACTACCATAGGAAATTGGGGAATGGGGGCTTCTGCACAGCCTCTTGTCTGTCTGCTGTCTGACACAGTAATAGCTTCCCAAGACACACCGATATGCATTGCAAAAAATATGAACGTCTTTAGAAACAGCTGCATGGAAGTAGTCAACAACTTAAGTCAAAGTTGATTCTAAGTGAAGAAAGTGTAGCAGTTCTGTTCTTTTTGTGAATTTTGATTTTTTTTCTATTTGTGTGTGTGTTTTTTAATTGGAAATGGTAGCAATGCCTAAGATCCAGTGTGAGAGGCAACGGATTATTCATGATCTGCCATTCTGTCTTTTTAACTGCAGCTCAAGGTAAATTTCCATAGCAAACAAACTCTAAGTCAGGCATGTCCAACCCACAGCCCACAGCTGGCTTGGCACAGCTTTTTTTAAAAAGTTAAAACTAAAAAAAAAAAAAAAAAAAAGAAAAATCATTTACTGATGCTGAGTTTGTTTAGCAAACAGGTTTTTCTTGAATTCAAGAAAATGCAGTCTGATTTCTCCAGACTGCAGCCAGGCAAACTGAAGAAACAGGAAAATCTATCAAAAGAAGTTTGGGGGGTAAAGCTGCTAATTTTGAATGCTGAGCTTTGACAACAGATGAAAGTACTGATGCTACACATATGGCTCAACCTGCCATTTTCATTAGAGGTATTGATGATGAATACAATGTCACTGAAGAAATGGCTTCTTTGGTGCCATTAAAAGACACAACTAAATCTCTTGATTTTTATGAAGCAGTAAAAATTACACTAAAGTGATTTTCTTTAACCCTTTCCAACATATCTGGCATCGCTACTGATGGTACCCCAGCGATGGCTGCTTAAAAGGAGGGAGTTCAAAAATTAATAGAACATGATACAATTGCCACTGGCAGATCATGTTTGATGAAATATCACTGCACTGTACATCAAGAAAATTTATGTGTGGAAGCTTTAAAAATGGGTAATGTCATGCAAATCATCATCAAAGCTGTAAATATCATGAAGTCCAATGGATTGAATCATCACCAGTTCTAGGAGTTCCTTAAATGTACAGATACAGATTATGAGGCCATAATTCACTTTTCTGAAAGAAGGTCAGAATAAAATGCTAAAAAGATTTCATGGTTTGTGAGATGTCATTTATGGAATCAAAAGGAAAATTTGTGCCAGAAAGTGAAGATGAAAAATGGCTTAAGATTTATCATTATTGGTGGATTTAATGAGTTAACATGCATCTTCTCAAGGCGAAAAGTCAACTTATCTGTGCTGTTACCAACTTATCTGTTTCAAACCATAATTCAAATTTGAATTATGGTGAGCTGAAGTTACAGAAAATAATTTCATGCATTTTGATGTGTTGGATTAACACGGGCCTGTGAAAAGAAAAAAATATGCACCCTTGCTTTCAGTTTCAATAAGTGAATCTGATAACAGATTTCAAGATTTCCAGAAAAAGCATCTTTTTATACATATATATCTGTGATTCCATTTTCAGTTGAAATAAATGCATTACCTGCACATTTTCAAACATGTATAGATTTGCAATCAGACATTGAACTCAAAGAAGAATTTGATGAAAGTCTAGTAAAAAGACACAGCACGACCTGCCTTAACAGAGAAAAAATACTCCGTGCTTTAGAGTCATGCCTTATTCATGTCATTGCCTTCTGGCAGCAAGTACATTTGTGAACCGCTGATCTTAAGGATGAAGCACAGGAGGAGCAATACTTGACCAAAAATCTCTGAGGAGCACCTTGAGAGCTCACTGAGAATTACAACCACTTTCACTGAACAAGACATTGAAGGATTACATTCATGAAAGCAAGGTCAAATATCCCACTAGTTTTATGGGGTTTTTTTTGGTGTTTTATTATTTTTTTTTACATTTTATCAAAAAGTAAGCTTTGTTACTTATATTCATAACCCTATTACATATTTTCTACGTGGCCCAAGACAATTTCTCTTCACTAAACCCAGGCAAGTCGAAAGGTCTGACACCCATGCAGTAAGAAATAGACTGCATATGGACACTGTACCAGAACTTTACTATTTTAGAGGCTACAATTTGCAGCTCAGCATTACATTTTAAGTTGAAGAATTCCACAATTCCAGGCTACAAACAGGCCAGTGTCGTGATTTTGCACAAGTCCCTTGCTGATGACTTCGAGGAGTTCTGCCGTGCAAACAGTGGAGCGCTGCCACTGCTACACAGAAGTAAACCAGGGGAATGGAAGTGCCCTTCTCTGAATAGTGATTCTGATATCAGGTAAATACAGACTGACTCTGTTTCTCAAAGTTCTGCAGTGAGTGCTGATGATGATTAGGAAAAAATCAGTGTTTCAGGGAATAACCCGCTTGTGCTTATATACATTTTAAATGAATTTATTTTCTTGGAATTACACCTTTAAGTGAAAACTGCACGTGAATATAACAGGATAGAATCAGCCTGATGGTTTTGTTCTTGAGAAATGTATTATCACAATTATCAGTACTGCAAGTATTTCTCTAAAGCAAAAGGAAACTTCCATAAAATTTCTTACAATTCTGCAGTCTGAGAAGAATGAAGTTGTAATGTTTTACCTCTCCCTGTTGATATTAACACAGGCATAGTGGCTATATGATATTTCTGAGGGTCTCCTGTTGCAAATACTAAATTTTTTCCCCACTGTTTCTCAGAAAGAAATGAAATGGATAAAGTAAGCTATATCTTGTGGCTTGATAGTGTCTTAAAATAATTTAATAATAATTTTTGATAATTTTTGTCATACATATTTTCAGAAAGTATGAGAAAGCTGTGATAACTTCTTATTTCACTAGAACTGACTGCCTGCAGTACAGAAAGTATGAGTACGGAGCTTTTACTGGATCTCTAAAAAGTCTAAAGGATTATTCTGAACAACTGAAGGACATGGTGGCTTTCTATTTAGGCTGCAGCTCTAGTTTTGAAAAAGTACTTCAAGCTGCTGGCATTCCTGTAAGAAATGTTGATCAAAAATGTAGCATAAGCATGTATAAGGTAAGGATGCACAGACATAATCTTTGCTATAACCTTTTCATTATTTGTCCATATTTATTTTATGTGCCTACACTGATCACTCAGAAATTTTTTAATTCTGCACAGTAACTTCAGTCAGATACTGGTGTTAAGTGTATGAAAATATGAGATAAAATATGCCCAGCAAATATGCCAATCAGATCAGTGCTTTTCTTAACTTCTTGCAAAGCTGAATTGGTATTTTATTCTTTTTCATGAAATGGCAGCCATTTCATTTGAATTTAGTCCTAGGTTATCAGTTGAAACTAAGAAGGAAACATGTACTGTTCTGTCGCTCAACTTTAATACATGTCCCACTCTCTGTACCATTCCCAGTTAGCAGCAATATTATTTGCTATGAACCATCACAGCAACAGTTTGTTCTGCAAGTACAATGGCCACATTTCGGATTTTTCCTATGGCTGTAGAGCCTTGATACTGCACACATGCTAGGATCCAGGCCTCTGGGACCTGAAAAATGCCTCCCATAGCATGAAAACTGTAAGAAACCGCATAGTGCAGATTTTAATCTTGGCAGAGCTCCTAGTATAATTCTGACTCTAGTAGGTAGACTAATATTAAGAACACTTTCAAATACAACTGAATGCCTTTTTCATATACCTAGCGTACTGCTCTAGTAAATGAATGTTATCTTTTGGCAGTCTTTTTACTGTACTGCCTGTCAAACTGAAGGAGCAAATGTGCTTCATGTGAGACCCTTAACCAAGATTAAAGAAAAAAGAAAACAGCTACGTATCTGTCTTTAACGTTTTTAGAATTAGGAGAATGTCATTGCTTATAGCACAAAAATAGTGTGAAGAACTACAGAGTGCATTTATTCAGTAACAGGTATAATTGTTATAAAAAATTAACAAACATTTTTAATGCAGCTGTTGCTATCTACATTTTTCACTTATATTCAAATGCAATTTTATATATCAGATATTTACATCTAGCAACCTTGGCTGCTGTATTTCTGAATAGAAAAGATGTTTCAGCATCCCAGTGAAAAAGGATGATGAATTCCATAGATCTTTCCTAGAGGCACAAAAGACCTTTTTTATGCAAAGAATCGGCACGCTGCTTCTGCAATAGAGGACTGCCAGTTAGCAGCCCTGACCCTCACGTGTTATTGAACGTAGTTTCTCTGAATTCCAATAGAGAGAAGAGGTTCAAACCAAATTGATTTGTCACTATGATGCTTTGTTAGTTTTTCACTTTCCATGTAGGATGTACAGAATTGTTTTCTGGCAATATTCTGAATATACTGAGCTCATGCTCTACGTTACATGTACTGAAGCAAAAAACACATGGTTTGGAGCACTTAGTGGTCTGTATGAAGAAGCTTAAGAATGGTAGATTTCACCTCTGAATCTTAAAAGAAGAAACTTTTTTCTTTTTCCAAAGGATTTGAAATGAATATTATTATCTGGCTTATTTCTTCTAATACTTTTGGTTCTTTTTAACTGCCAGACAGCTGTGCCATGCTACGCTATTTCTACTTTTTGCTGCAACTTAGTTGTCACAATGAGACCAGTTCCTGAAAGCAAATTGGAAGCAGCTGTGCTAGCAACATCTGAATTAAAAATAGAAAATCATGGAGCACCAATTCACATTGGTAACCCTGGTCAGTACTTTCCATATTTCATTCCATGTGGGGTTTATTATCAATTAAAAAAATAAGAATAAAAATGGTGGAAGGGAAGCCATGGGAAATGTTAAGACTTTAATACCTGCCCCACTATTTTAATGTTTTAATTATTTTAATGGATACAAACCTCAACTAGAGGAGAAAAAAAGAAAAAAGAAAAAAGATAAGGTAGTCTTGGCTGAGTGGAATACATAGAATTCTTGAATAATGACAGTTATATATCAAGAGTGCTATTGGTAAAAAGTATAGTTGCGTGTTTCAAAAATGTATGCAGTTTCATTTATATTTAAATGCTTTCTTGTTGCCTGGGATTCCACAGACAGGGTAGAAATGAGATTGATGGCACGGGGAGAAGTATGGGTGGATGTGTGTGAATGACAGAAATTTGTCAGTCAGTGGGCTCATGAGCTGCATACACAGCCAGATCACACTGCATGGCGTGGAAAGCGATGCCATTGGTAACAGTACACTGCCGTAATTTATTTGGTCTCGGTGCTTAAATCTGAGAGACTAGTGAGAATTCATTGCTCTGAGTAGAGATTGGGTGAGGGTCTCACCTGTGTATTTAATTTTAACAGAAAAAAAAAGGTAAATGAATGACCTAGAATACTGCAAGTAGGTGTTAAAGGAAAAGACAAGTTAGTGAAAGCTGGCTAAGAGTGAGATGCACTAATCCAACCCAGAGAGGTGAAAGATTTCTCATTTCTTTAGCTAAATAATGCAGGAAGCTAAGGAATTAGGATGTGTGTTCTAGAAACAGCCCATTTTGCATTGCATTAATTTATTCCTGCTTGCCATCATTGCAATTCCTATGTTGAGAGAAAAGATGTACAATATCTTGGGAACTCAGTATGAACATCTTGTCTGTGTTTTGCTGCAAAAATGAAGTGAACACATTTTTACTGATGTCACCAACAAAAAGGAGGAACAAGACAGCTCAGGTCCTGAGAAGATGCACTCAGTGCAAACTAAATATGCCACTTCAGGGGGATTTGCCATTGCCCTTATTCTCTCAGTATCACCGGGTAGGATTTGGGGTCCCCCTCTCACCTTCTGTAATATTACTGCTTGTCTGAGACCTATGATGAGGTTATATTGGTCAATGACAGGTCTGCTGGGAATACAAGATCTTTCCAAGCCAGACTACGGAGATCCAGTTCACCTTCACCCTGGTGATATCCCTGTGTTTTGGGCCTGCAGCGTAACAGGAATAGAAGCAGTCATCAACTGCAGTATGTACTGTCTTTGGAAACTCTTAAAATCATCCTTCAGTCATGTGTGTGTGTGTGTGTGTGTATGTGTGCATGCATGAGAGAGACAGAGAGAGATTGACCCGAAAAAAGATTTTGTTATTGTTTTGTGAATTTTTAAGTTTCAGTTTTTGTCTCAGTGAAGTTTATGTGACACACTTTATATAATGAAAACCTTACCCTCTGTAAAAAGTTATTATCCTGTGCTTTACCCAGTAATTTACAGCACACATGAGTTCAAAGGGCGAGAAACCTCAACTAAACCATAGTGACAGCATTATATTGCTCCAGGTCATTGATCTATCAAAGTCTAAGTCATTGCTAGCTTCATTAATATGTTGTCTATTCACGTGGTTTGGTGAGGCATATAAAACCTCAATGATCACATTCCCTACTTTCCTTTAAATTGCTGCCCATATATTCCCAACAGATCCTGCACAGAGCAAGCACGTCTTCTCCCTTTCCACCATCCCAACAAAGTAATGTTTTGCTTGTTTAAATATGCCTGATGTGATTTATCCAAAAACATGCCCATTTTAGCAAATCAAGTATTATGTAGGTCAAGTATTGAGATTTCCAGAATTAATATATAAATAAAATATTTTCAGATTAGAGAGGTAACATACTGTCAGATCGGAATAAGCTTATTGCTCATCAAGGTTTTAGTGTTTCTCAAATTCCCTCTTCTAGTTCTCTAGCAAAAGGAACTTCAGGAACTCCTTGCCTGTTTATACCTACCCTAGCTAGGTAGACAGGATGCTGTGCAAAGATGCAATTTCCATTTTCTTAGTCAATAACTACTTGCCAGCAGGTAGAAGTTAACACAGTTTTGTCATATCACTATTAAAATTATATTCAGAGGTATAGAGAGACACAGCAACAGCCTAGAACCTAGAAAATTAATTAATTTTTACAGAAACAACATCACCAACACACTATGAAAACTTCAGTGTTAACTTGTTCTTAGCTCATGCACGTCAAACCTAGCTTTCAGACTTGCCAATTCCTGACTGGCTTCCTTGAAGGGTACCAGTTGTCAGTTCCTGAATTGCCTCAGGCTGGTATCAGAGATGGTAGTGTAGAAAAGCCTGATCTCAACTACCCACATGAGCTTTCCAGAAGTGAAAACATTTTATATATGTGTATGTACATAAATATATATATATACACACACACAAACACACATTTTTTATATTATATATGTGCATATTATATATATATGCGCACATTTCTTTCCTCAAAGTGTTTTATTGCTGCAGTGTATCTTAAAATATCACCTGTTTTATAAGTATCATCAGGCAGGGATTCTGTGTTGCTAAATAGCTTCTTGTGATTTTATCTCTCTGACATTTTGATACATTGCAATAACAAAGCATTTAATTGAAGCTTGTGGGGTTGTTCTTTGTTTTATCTGTTTTAGGATCTCCATTGGCTTTTACTTATTCTTCTGGCTGCATGTTCATTACTGACCTGAAGAATGACAGTGTTATGCTCAGATCCTCAAGAGAAGTCCCACAAGTCCATTGCATTTCACAAGATCCTTTGCATTACAGTATGGTGTCTGCAGAAGCAGCAAAAAAGATAAAGACTCTAGAGAGCCTAATTGGAATAGATCCAGGTAAAAACAAAATCTCTTCCTGTAACAGTTCAGTTCTGAGGTAGATATGAATGACCCTGTTTGTACAGCTATCCACAAATTTAAAGAATACAGTAAGAACATAAAGACAACTTTAACCTTAAAAAAATATATATATTTGTTAATATAACTTGATGTTTCAATTTCATGGTGATATTTAATACCAGACTTTGACCTGAACCATTCAACTTCATCAGTAAAGGAACACACAAGTTTGATGACTGTATTCTCTCAAAGTACAGAGAAGCTTTTCTGTTTACAGCAGACTGGAGTGTCCACAGGGAATAAGAAATGTTTACTGAATAAATCTGAAATTGATATGTAAAGAACAGGATGTCTCAGCAAGCTCATAGCATCTATGTTTGTATTCACTGTTGAGTAAACAACATGTTTCTTTAATATTTTCATGACTAATGTTTTCTTACGGGGATATTCTTGTAGCTGCATGTGTTTTTCAAACGTCCCTCTCTGATCAGTGAAACTACACCAAGCTCTGCTGAATGTTTGTCACTGAGCTCTTTGTGTGATGGACCAAAGTAACCTGATCTCAAGAGAATGTTGAAAGATAGGGCTTTGAGTGTATAAAAGAAGAGAGGAGAATAAAGGATTAAAAGCCAAACAGAATAGCGTAGCCATTCCTAAAATATCTGTTCAATTAGACCCTTCTATCTGCTGTAAATCCTGATTTCAGTTTACCATGAGTTTTCTGAAATCCTCTACAGGCAGCAGTGGAAAGCAATTAACAGACTGCTCTCCCCAGCTCAGGGTTTGGCTGCATGCATATATTTGGGTCTGTTTATTTTTACTCACAAAGCCTTTCCTTTTATCCACTCTGGAGTTCAGCATGGCACAATGCCACGCTCTAGAGAAACATGAGAGCTAACTTCAGAGCTGGCTTATTTTGTTGTTAAAATGCTAAGAGTGCCTACACTGCTGTGGTACTTTATCTCACTTGAAACACCATGCTTCTCCGAGACTAATATATCCTTCCTCTATCTGAGTTCTGTTGAGAACTTTCTTCTGTGTCCAGTGTTTACATTTTATCTATGCATTGGCTTTATATTATGTAGGAGGAATTAAGAGATAATGACAGAGGAAACAGTTTCAACAGTAGGAAAGAAGGAAAAAAGCACGAGAAATATTAAGATATGAGGAGACTAGAAAGCAATAGCGAGGACTTGCCTCTCATTATCAGCTCATGAATACCAGCACATCATGATAGTATTCGTAGTTTTCAGGAATGCAAGAAAATCTAAAGGACTGCATTGCGAACTTGTGTTTCTGAATCCCAGGAAATGAAATAAGAAATACTGAAAAAAATATAAGATTCACACAGACGCAGTGTTGCTTTTTCAACACCTGACAAAAGAGAAGAGAGATCTGCTACTATGCACCTATTTGTCAAGGTTAGATAGCAGGTAACAAGATCTTTTAGTAGTCACCTAGATAATACTGTAGTGATTGAGTTTTGCAAGTCTCCCAGCAGCTTACAGCAGCTCTGAACCTTCACTGCTGTGGTTAATGATTTCATTAAGTTGAATTGATTTGGGAATTAACTCTTTCCTGAGGGAATAGAGTTAAGTGGAGATAAAGAACCAGATTACTCATCTGAGGTCTGCATTGAACCTTCTGTAAAACATGAGAAGATAAGTATTAATCTAGTTTCAGTAGTTAGATGTGGTCTGGCATGACTATAACCACAGACCAGAGGGAAGCAGAGGGTAAAAAGATGGAAAACAATATTCAATAAACTCTTCTTAGGGGAAAAAAAAAAAAAAAAAAAAAGAAAAGAAAGAAAAGAAAAGAAAAGAAAATTATTTGCATTAGTACATAAAATGCTAGTATGATTTCCAAAACCCAGTTAACTGAAATTCTTAACCTGGAAGCACAGCTCGCTCCCCTCATTACTCATATCCTACACCTTCTTAGGTTTCCTGAGGAAATCAGCCCAATTGCTGCCTTGACCAGAGGTTTTTCTTTTTCTTCTTCTTTTTTTTTTTTCCTTCCCTTTTTCCTCATATTATGTAATGAAAGCACATGGATTCATCCAGACAGAAACTTCAAAAAGAGAGCAATGTCTAGAAGCGTACTGCTCCCTTAAATAAATCAATGAGCCTCTAAAAATACTTTCCTAGGCAATCGTGGCATCCTTCATTTACTCCGCCCTGGCGAGCTGCTGAAGGCCTGCCTGTCCCTGTCCCATGCTCGGTCCGTGTTGGTAACCACCGGGTTTCCCACCCACTTCAATTACGAGCCGCCGGAAGAGAACGACGGGCCCCCGGGAGCCCTTGCTATTGCGGCCATGTTGCAGGCCTTGGAGAAAGATGTAGCCATAGTAACAGATCAGAGAGCCATGGATCTGAATAAAAAGATTATTGAAGAGGCTGTGCAAATCGGTAAGAGATATTTTTCCAGTTCTGTCTTGCTAATCTGAGCCAAGGTTCACTTCAGTTAATCTCATTGTAACTTACTACAGGATTTTATTTTTTCCAGAGAACAAGCAAGCATTCATCCTGTGAGCTCAGATCAGCAGTGCTATGATGTTCAGTTAAAGGTAGCTGGCAGCAAATTGATGCTTATGCACCTGGGTGGTGAGCCTGGGCGAGCTGTTTGGGAAGAATTCTGGATGTCTCTTCTTATTCTAGTAGCTTTCTATCCCAAGGTCCCATTTAACAGTCCTAACATGTATATTATTTTAATTTAAAGTAAGGATGTAGAAAGCTTATCAGAAACTACATAAACCTGTTGAGTCCTAAATTCTCCTTAAAAAAAAAATATAAAAAAAAAAAAAAATTATTATAAAAAAAAATTTAAAAAAAAAAAAAAAAAAAAAAAAAAGAAAAAAGCATCTGAATTGTATTTTGTTTTCCTTCAGGAGTCCTGAAGGAACCTGTCCCGTTGCTGAGTTATCAGAGGGAAAGTGCTGATTCAGCTTTAACATTTTTGTGTGAGAATGGGAATCCCAGAAGACCTAGGTACGTTCATTCGGTTTTTGAGAATGGGTCACACTTCTACTGCATGGAGTGATAATAAAAATAACAGCCATGATCTAAAAAGGTGTAATGTTTGCAAGCCATTAAGAACTGGAACGAGTAGAGCAAACTTTGAATCAGAGCATCTGTACTGGAGCACATGTACAGAATTCCATGTTATTCTGAGATTATGAACTTCTGGAATACAAAAGGAAAAAATACTTCATGTATCAATAGCTCTTTTTATCTGCAAAAAGAAAAGAAAGGCTTTTTAGCTGTTATTCCACAGCAATATACATAGGCATTTCAATACTATATATGTTTTTCCCAGTTTTTAGATTAGTGGAAAAATCAGGATGCTGAGAGGTGGAATCAGAGAAGGACCAGGGAAAAGAATATTTCTGCTTTCTAGAGCTTTGGTTCAAGTCTAAGAACTGAGGAATCAAATATGATTTAGTAAATCCCAACCATTTTTAATACTGTGAAAGTGATTGTCCTGTTGCCTTTAGGCAGCACACACCAAAGTTAGAGAAATATGCACCAACTTCTGAACATCAATTTGAACTGTTTGCATACATAGTGTTCAGTGTACAACATTGGGCAGAAATTCAGATGTATACAAGTGTGTGATTAATGTTAATGCACTGGGAAATTTTGCTAAGTAGTTCCATGCGCATTTCACTACTCAGTAAGCAACTTACATTTCCTTTAAATAGGTGTATGCTGCTCATTTTTTATTGAACTTTCCTTTTGCAGCATTTTAATCCTGTTACCTTCAGTTTTTTCTTCTTAATAAAAAACATTTTTCACCCCGGCGTTTGGTTCATCAATTTATTCAGTTTATTCACATCCCATTTCCCTCTAAATAGAATCACAGGCTCACCAAGGTAGGAAAACACCTCCAAGATCATCTAGTTCAACTGTCCACCTACCACCAATATTTCTGCATTACACCATGTCCCTTAGTACAACATCTAAATGAACACCTGCGACTCCACCACCTCCCTGGGCATCCTGTTCCAGCACCTCAACACTCTTTTGGAGAAGTTGTTCCTAATGTCCAAGCTGGACCTCCCCTGTTGCAACTTGAGGCCATTCCCTTTAGTCCTATCACTAGTTTCATGGGAGAAGATGCCAACACCCACCTCATCACAAGCTCCCTTCAGGGATCTGCAGAGAGTGGTAAGGCTTCCCCTGAGCCCACTCTTCTCCAGACTGAACAATCCTGGTTCCCTTAGCAGCTCCTTGTAAGACTTATGCTGCAGACCCCCCACAGCTCTGTTGCCCTTCTCTGAACACACTCTAGGGCCTCAGTATCTTTCTTGTAGATACAAGAGGTGCGATGTTAGTGTGCACTGTAATTTTGGCATACTATAGTCTTCCATTATTATGTACTGTTTTAAAAGCATTTTTTTCCAAGCATAATTTAATTACAGCCAGCTTCTACTTAAAAGTTGACAACTAAGCTGTTTAAGGTCTCCTCTATCACAGTAGATACCCACACACAAATAATTAAGTAATTCAACAGAAACAATCACCTCTTGACAGTTCAAGCTGCAGAAATGGAAATAAAATAATTTAATTATTAATAGCAAGAGGCAGAATTAGCTACTAAACTTCTGCTTAAAGTGGTGGACATCTGCAGTACATCTGTGTACTTTCACAAGCCACAAACTGACATCGACTTAAAATTTAAAAGAAACCTCAAATCCACAGCCCCAAAATGTGAAGACCCAAACCAGAAACTCCCTGACCAGATACAAGTGAACAATTTGCAAGTAACATTCTTTAAGCAGACACTACATTTTTACATAAATACAGGCATCTTCACCTTGTAAGACATTGCACATTTTAACATGAGACAGTGCAAGCCCAGATGGCTAACACAAAGAAAAATTCATTTGGAAGAGTCCACAAAAGTCTCTGTTTATTGGCAACAAAAAAGTAGTTTGAGGAAGTTGCGTTAAATCTGTAGATAAACTAGATTAAGCTCTGAAAACAAACTGTAGGAAACTACACAAAGAAATAACAAAACAGTATCCAAGTTTTACATCACATCTCAAATGATCAAGAATTAGAACTAACTACAACAGGAGAAGCAGTGAACAGAAAAATTTTTAGGTGAGAATCATAGCTTTGACTGCTTTCTTCCTCTCTCTAACCAGATTTGATCACCTGATAGCAATAGAGCGTGCCGGGATAGCTGCTGATGGCAATTACTACAATGCCAGGAAAATTAATATTAAACATCTTGTAGATCCCATAGATGAACTGTTTTTAGCTGCACAAACCATTCCAGGAATAACAACAACAGGTATGTGTGTGCCTGTGTTACAATCTCAAAAGCAAAAGAAGTGTGAAACAGGAACTTGTACTTACTGGAAACGAGGTGAAGCAGGAGGCAGGTGCTGAATAGCCAGCTACCTGAGGGCTATGGCTGTTTGTCTGTGTTGAATTTAAAGAGGCAGTGTTAGAGGAAAAATTACAAGTTCCCTTGGAAAGGTGCTGATAAAGGAGTTGAATTCAGAGTTCTTTAAGGATAAATAAGTGATCCCAGGTGTGTATTATCATTACGTGAGCATTATATACATATGAGTGGGCCTACCTACAGTCCCCTAAGTCTGGTTTCTGACACTGACTTTGTTCCGTGTTGTATAGGTGAAAGGCAACAGAGAAAGCAGATGACTACTGAATTTTGAACTATTGTAACCATTTTATGGTTGCTATAGCTGTGTTAAAACAGCAGTCTAGATGCAATCTTCATTTAAATTGCAATTAACAGTACATTCTCCTGAGCAGAGATTGTATAGTCTCATCTGGTGTAATAGGTCCTTTTCTCTGAGAAAACATGAGTGTGATATAATCATCTGGAAAGGAGTGCGTTGTCCTCAGTGGTGTTGAGAGAAAACTTAGAATTTCACTTACAGAAGTTTAGTATAGAGATACGTGAGATATTCATGTAGCTAAAATTATTGATTTTCAGCACTTTAAGTGTAAATTAGAAATACTGTACTTTCTACAACACGTATTATGCATAAGTTACATTTGAAATTCAAATGCCATACATTGCAGTGAATATTTGGAGCTCTTCACAGTTCTGGAAATGGATATTCTTTTTCTCAGACATTAACTAGCACAAATTTGAGAATATTCCATTTAAATGATCAGGTAAAATATTTATATCCACTTAATTAATTATATTCTTTTTCATTTTTTTTTTTTTAATGCTAGAAAGAGACTAAAGGCAGTATTTAAGGTGATAATATCTGTTACCCTCATCTCCAGGTCTCCGAGTGACAAATGTAGGGTTCTGACATTACATAGAATCACTGATACTCAGGATTTCGGGAAGACAAATATGCAGATTTTCTGCTTGACCAACAAAAACAGAGGCACTGTTCTTTAAACATACACTTCAGAAAAATTGCTATTTTTTTGTAACTTACCAAAAATTGCTTGATAATTTTGATTTATTTTGCCTGCACGAGCACTACATACACTGTGTACACACACTTACATGTTAGCATGTGGTAAAGTGATGCCTTCAGCTCCTTATTTCATGACCTTCTGCTTATAGACACTTTCAGTAAAAAGGATAAATCATCTCGGATGGAGCTTTGAACACTCACAGAAACTCCCAGGAAAGATTCTGGTTCCTGTGTAAATGGAGCGTTATATGCTGGTTTCATACTCATTTGATCTTTTTCTCTTTTTATTAAAGGTGTTGGAGATGGAGGAAATGAATTAGGAATGGGCAAGGTAAAAGATGCTGTAAAGAAGCACATTAAAAATGGAGATGTTATAGCTTGCGATGTTGCAGCTGACTTTGCTGTTGTAGCTGGTAAGGGATTTATTCAGTGTGGGAGAGTTGCTGATGTTGTGAAGAGAACTGAACAGAAAGCACCTGTCTTTCCAAATGATTTGTATTGGCCCTTTCTTTGTATGATCACAACCAGTCTCTGTATCGTGTCCATCTTCTGAGCAGTTAAGCAACAACTGCACATGTAGGAATGAGTGAAAATTGAGGATGCTCAGTCAAAAGTGCATTTAATTGGAAACAACTGGGCAAGCCCTCAATATTCTGGAGAAATCACACCTTAAATGAAATAACAGGGAAGAGTGACCTGAGAATTTTTTAAAAAATATCTGAATATTTGAATTGCATATATGAATTTTTGGTATAACTGATGAACCTCTGTGAGCGTGACCAAAACAGTGACAGGCCTTAATTGGCTGTATTGCTCTTACACGAGGGGATAAATTGTTTCAGCAGCCATACTAATGCACATCTTAATGTACAACAGAAGTTGAATGTTATAGATTAAAATTCTCCTCTAACATAACGTCTGAACCAGTATTAAATGAATTCCTTTGTGAAGAGACATGCTCAGCAAGGACAGTCTATGAACTGAATGGTCCATTTTGCACGTGAATTGGAACACCTGTGTTTCCAACATTGCAGAGACTGGAACAGCAATTTTAGAGGGGAGAAACGGGACTGTGGTGATAATTTTATCTACTTCTTACTGCTTAACATACATGTCAAACATGCATGGCCGTTGGGGAAATCCTTGTGATTTTCACCTTGAAAGCAATCGTCACACCCAGATCCTAAAAGCGAGTAAGGGGAATGTTCACACATTTGGGAGGATGCACTGAAACATGCACTGCATCTTCAGTGTATCACGACATGCATTGAAACAACCCCCACAGTTGTTAAAAATCTGGCTGTTCTGCATCTCGTGTGGAGGTGTCAGAGAGAACTTCTTACAGCAAGTTTCAAGTCTAACATTCTCCAATGCAGCCCCAACAAACGGGCTGTCAAACAGGGCTGTGTGGAGTGATTTAATCACAGCATGCAGACAGTCTGGATATTAACTAGATTTGAATGAATGTCTTTTTGCACACAACATTTAAACAAAAGACATATCAAGACACAGACAACTATCAGTTCCACCAGACCTCTTTATGTCATAAAACTGCTGAATTCTTTGATCAGATGTTACCTGTGACAAAAAGGGACTCTCTAGAGTGGTGCAGCGTTTCACTAAGAAATCTGACTTCAGTGAAAATCTGCATGGTTTCTCTTCATCAAAAATCATCTGCTTCTGTATTGTTAAAAGCAAAAGACACTGAGCTGTAACACTGTTCCTCAAAAGTTCATGGATTTCACATAAACTAAACAGAATTGTTTTATAAACCAGTCCCAAGTGAATTTTTGTTTTGTTGGAAGACAAACCAGAGAGAAAGCTTGGGGAAAACTTGCAGAAATTCAGTCTGAAGTACCAATGAAAACATTTTAACATCTTATCTAATTGTATGTTTCTAAAATATATTTTCCAAATTACTGTCAATAGTTGATTCACATCCCAGTTCTGTTACAGCATTGCTGTGTGACTCAGTTGAAGTGCCTAATGACTTCTGGGGGTTAGGTATGCTTACAATAATTGTTGTTTGATGTAGTGTTACTTTTAACAGTTTGGTTTCATGGTGTTTCCTTTGATTCGCAGGCGTCTCTAACTGGGGAGGCTATGCCATTGCTTGTGCTCTGTATATTCTCAGTACCTGTGAAATACACGATCGCTATCTGAGGAGAGCCGTTGGGTTTTCACAGTCACCAAAGAAAACAGCCTGGCTGTCCGCACTTCCATCAGTTACAAAGGTAAATTCCACAGGGCCAGGGAGCTGGGACTCGTTTGTGAGCAGATGAATCAGGTATCAGCCACTAAAATCCTGCCCAGTCATTGCATTTTTCTCATCTTTCTACAATTCCTGGCTAACCTGCTTCCACATCATGGTTAGAATATTCAGTAAAGAATTCAAGGCAGTATGAACACCAAAAGCCTCATAAATGAATTTATTTCTGCGTTGTAACTTCAAGCATAGAACCATTCTGCAATATCCAGCATAGATACTGTCTGCAGCGCTGAAGTATTTTCACTAAGATGACAGTACGTTTTGCCTGAAATTCCAACTAGGTTTTTAGAGTAGGTAGTACTTTACTTTGTTGCTGTTTTGGTTGTTCGTTTAAAGGATATAAAACTGAAACTGATCCCAACATTCAGCGTAGCTGTATTTGCTATCCTTTGACTTTTAACAAAGCGTAAGGCAGCTCTAACATTAGACTAAGTATTTTTCATGGTATGTTTTTTCCATTTACATCTCCTCATTTTCCTCTGAAGTTAACATATCCCAAATCTACTATGATCAAATTTCCTGGTAACAGATATTGCAATTAAATGGGATATTGTATACAGGAAATCCTTCTTGCTTTTATTTTACAATGCTGCGCAGCTGGCAATATTGATAATAATCCAATAATGAGCTGTTGAAAGTTCAGCACAAAATCTATTGAGATAAAATTAATGGAAGCAGTTTTGTGGGAAGAAAGAAAATTACAAATTTTTCTGACAAGAGGAGATTGTATCTTTAATTATACATCATGCAACAGTAAACAGTGCAGAAGATTTCCTGAGCCTGAACACATTATTGTTCACCTACTCCATTAGTACAAAAAAAAAAAAAAATCAGACCATTTACAGCTGCTCTCTTCCCAATAGTTTCTTTTAATGCTGCAATAATTCCCCTAATAGGATAAAAAGTACATATTTGTGTACTTGCCTAAGCACCAAGCTGCCTTCTTATAATATTTCATTTTTACTCCAAACTAGTGTTCCTTCCACGAAACCCAGAGACCGTAACAACTAAATGAAGATGACTTCCTCAGAATGTGTGTTATTTCTCTGCAGCCTTATAGAATTGTTCAGGTTGGAAAAGACTTTAAAGATCATCAAGTCCGACCGCAGCTTAACCATACTACCCTAACTCTAAGAACCCTTCGCTAAATCACGTCCTTCATGTTAAAGCAACATCACGACTGCACTGCAGCAGAACTCAGAACCGCAGTGCTCTCTATTCCCACTCAACTGAATACGAAGATTATTCTAAACTACCCTTTACATATATTTTACTAAGAGGTACAGAGAAGCATTTGTTGATTGCTGAGAACTTTATCAGGTGGAAATATCTTGGCCAATGTAGTTTTACTTACCTTCCACAACTGTGGAGTTGAGTCACAGCTGAGTCAGTTCATGATGCTGGTTTGATTTTTTTATATTCTTTTATATTTTTTTATATTCTTAGAGCTTTTCTGAGATGAATGTAGAGAAAGATGTTACAACCTCTTTCAGAGTTGTTGTCTGCATGATCATGAGCAATATATAAAGGTGTCATTTGCTTTAGTGTTCTTTATCAATTTTTTCATTCACGAGCGAGTTTTTCCATGAAGTAAATACAAATTACCAAGTTCCTTTTCTATGAATTTGTTGGGTTTGGATTTCATTGGGGTCCTTTTTTTTTATTTCTGATTTCCTCACTCCCAACATAAACATTTACTAATCAGAGTACTGTGAGTAAACTGCAGCACTTTGCAGACCACACTGCATGTTGTGTATGTTTCTTACAAGTTCAACAATAACATTTGTTGATAGAGTACTGTATCAAGCATAGTTTCATAACGTTAAGTAAGCAAGACCATTTCCCCCATGTAAACAGGTCAAAGAGCTGGAGCTTGTAAATATGTAGGAGAAACAATTTGAAATTACAATGAAATTTTGCTTATCCACTTCAGAGGTCTCTTTTGTGACATGAGAGTGATGTAACAGCTGAATTATTTCTGTATGGCTTATAGGTCTTTGTGGAAAGAAACAACCCTTTAAAGGTGAGAACATTAGATATTTTAACATTACACATTTTTGGTCATTTATATTTATTCAGGATATAAAAGACATTCCTAATGTTATTGTATGGGAATAGCTAATAAGAAATATTTCAACCTATACAGCTGTCTGCCAAGGACAAGGATAGGGCTTTGTTTGGCCGTAACAATTTCCCTCACAGCAGAGTATCACGCAAATGGAATTAAAACCAACCAGAAAAGGCATTCATAGAAAAAATAGACATTCTCAAGAAATAAGATATATACATATACATGTGTATGCATATATGTATGAGACTACATTGAGGTATTATGTAAGTTAATAGGGCGTGGGATGGAAGGAAGCTAAGATGTGATTAGGCTACTTATTCTCCTTAGATTTTTTTAAATTTAAAATTAGAGGAATACTTCATCTTTACAGGAGATGCTAAGATGATATATAAGGTTTTAATGGGCACGCCTCATGTCAAATGAAAAGCAGAGTAGCAGGAATAACTATTTTTTAATGTCTCCAAAATTCTCAAAGATTACTGAAACAACAGACAATTTACGCACCGCTGTCTTAAAGGTCTTCATCTTATAACATCATGCTAAACTGAACGTGTATACACAAGTAACCTGTGTAGTCCCCAAGGAAGGAAGGCATACCCAGTCACATTACCCGCTTCTTTGCCAGCGTTCCCTGTGATTGCAATTGAATCCCCTTCATTGAAATTCAACAGGAAGTTCAAAACTTGCCAATGGGGAGGTCCCAAAGTTTTAAGATTCTGGGAAATGTACAGAAATGATAATCTAGAGAGAAGGGGAGGGATCGATCTCTTCGCTACTGCTGCTAATGAAGCTGTGGCTTTTCAGAAATTCTGGGAGTGGGCAGAACTGCGAGATGTGAGGCCTCTTGCAACTGTGCCAGTGACACTGCTGATAGAAGTAGCGTTTTTTTAAGGCTGATTTCATCCCTTCTTTTCATGCTAACTTACCCGTAGGTCGCTATCAAGGATTTGGTTCCCTCTGTGTACTTATAACAGCTCAGTTTGGAACATGCTTCATATCTGCTTACATTACTGTTAAGCAAGAAAATAACTGTTACAAACACAAAATAGAGTCACAGTTCTAAACATAGCAAGTTAAACATTATTTCAAAGAATTCCAGGAAAGAGCAACTTCGGGGTATTTCTTCTCCCCAGCCCTTTCTTAAGGGCCCAGAACTCTCAAAATCAATAGAAAAGGAGGTCAGGATGCAAAATGCACATTGGCACCACTCAATACGCAGGAAAGGAGAGTGATCATGCAGCCTGTTCAGGTTCTGCCTGTAAGCTTTTTCCCTGTTTCCTCCTCGGTACTTTTGGTTTAAAGATGCCCCTGCAGCTTGCTGCTCAGCGAAAACTACAGCAGGGAGTTCGGGTGGAGGTTTCTCTCGTTCTTATTTGTGCAATATAGGAATTTCAGAGTAGGTGGAAAGGATTCACATTTCTGAATTGACACTATCATGCTCCTTGAAGGAGTGTAGAGAAGAAAAATGGTGTCTGCAAAAAAATCCAGCGGGTGAGGTCGGAGTCTTCCCTGGGTTTAAAATTAAGGCCTCAATGTTTTTGCCTGATAAGGGATTTTAATTGTATCATATTCATTTCTCTTTTAAGGAAGAAAAGCTTCTGAAAGCACTTGTGCAGCTTGAGGTTCGCAGTGGAGTATCTGCCAGCCTGGAAATGGAGGTGGACGCGCTGCCCTTCTACAGCACCCATTCAACCATGATTGAAAAACTGCTGCAGGAGATGCAGCACTGACTGCTCCCTACTGATTTCTAATCAGGAGGTGATGCTATGTCATTTCTTCATGTCGTAGTCTCTTGCAAGGTAAAAAAGGATCAGAAAAAGATGAGCCTGTATCTCTTAAGTCTCTTTCATCTCTGGTGTCTTGCCAATGCATAACTTTGTATTATTGCCTTTACAAAATTTCTGTGAAATGGGAAGAAGCTATCATGATGATTCAGTCTACCTTTCTTTCATGTGATTTTATAATGGATATTAAAAGATATTACACACTAAATGGTGATCTGGCTTTTACAAAGAAATCTTCTCATTAAAATGAAATACCATTGCATTGCTGTTCCTGTTTTACTAACCTCATAACTGCAACAGGAAGTAAGTCTTGTAGCAACTTGGATTTAAAAATACTCTATGGTGGGGAGAACAGCTGCAGTGGAGTGTTCAAAACAAAACAAAAACCTGCAAGTGTTACAGCAGTAAAAATTGTTAAATACAGGTCTTTTGTACACTTCTTCCTATAGCCCCTCTAACACCATCTTCTCATGCTGGTGGGTCAGTGGTGGAGATGTGATGAGGTGAGGGCTTTAATGAGAGTAAGGGAAACCTTGCAGACTTTCTGTGTAAGGGGAAGGCTGTACTGATGGCCTCCTTTATGCTACAAGTTTATGTAAATTTTGTCCCTTTCTTCATAATACAGAAATAAAATGTTTTACTCTTAACATCAGGATACCATAAAGGAGTTAAATACATAGTGATAAAATATTTATGCTTAGACATTAAAATACAATCAGAAATTAAAGAACTTTGGCACTCAGTTTAAAACAGAATTGTGTAAATGAGCATTTAAATCAATTCCAGTTATGAGAATACTGCTATCAACAAGACTGTTTGAAGAACAACTAGCCTGCATCTAAAAGGCCTACAAACACTGAAGCAGCACATGACAAACAGTTGTGCCTTATGCTTGGCTTATGTCATTTAAAGTTGTGCTATTACTTCAACTCTAGGTAGGTGCCTCTGCTGAAGACCTAACAGATGTCAGCCCCCCCAGCAGACAGCACAGGCTGTGCTTTACACTGCATACTCAGATACTGATGCTTTACCTGTCATAAAAAGATGATAGTGATACAAAATGAGAGTATTGAGCTATTGTGCTTCAGCAGGATCAGGATGGTGGTTCTGTTTAGCCACTGCTATTTCCAAAGGACAGGAGTACTTTAGCAGGTAGCAACATCCTCTATCTATTTTCATGTTCCTCCTCTTATGTAAGACAAGCACATAACTCTTTGAGAATAAGAAAAATCAGTTTGTACCACAAACAGCAGTATTCATTTTCTGAGCTCCCCGAAGATACACAGCCCTTCAAGGCTTACAGCTGTTGAACATGTACGAGAGAAACCTTAATGCCAGAATGCTGATACACATTCAGACTTGCTCCCAGTGGTTATTTTATGACACATCACATTACCTTGACTTTGTCCAAGGAACTTGATTTAATGAGCTTTCACTCTTTTCTTTCTAAAATTTAAGCTTTAACAGATCTTGCTAAGAAACAGACAATTGCGTGTGTTTTTGAAATCCCTTTTTCTCCGTCATCCCAAGCCCCACATTCAATCTAATGGTAGTGTGCAGCATTATCTCCAGCAAACCTTGCTCTCATCCTGAATAGAATAATAATAGAATAAAATAGAAAGGCTCTGAGGGTTATGTTCCTCCTGTGGTGGTTACAGATCCACAGCCTAAGCTGAGCTGTTACAACATAGAAAGAATTAGAAAGTAGAATCAGTACTGACATCATGACCAGGGAAAACAAACCCAAACCAACAGCCCTGCCCTCTTGGCCTGGTCAGCAGGTTAGATGCTACAACTGCAGCAGAACGCTGGGCCGTCACACAAGTTTTCATCTGATTTTAAACCACAGCAGCTGACCAGAAGTGAACCACAACAAAGTACCGACTCAAGTAAGCCTTAATCTGTTCAGTGTAATAACTGCATGCAACAGGGCACGCTCTGCATTCCAGCTAGTTTAAACAACACGGACAGCCATAAAGAAGTAAAGCACAAACAAACAGCAAAATAAATATTTTATCTTAGAACAAATCATGTGTGTGCCTTGCAGCATGTCAGGTCATGGGAGTCTGAGTGTTGGAGCTCCTCTTAGCAACGCACAAGCACAGACTGCAGCAGCCAGGAGCCCCTGCTTCCAACCAGCTGGCACAGACAGCAGGGACTAGAGGAAACATTCACAGATAGCAAAGCTAAACAGCACTAAATAGTAAGAAGAAAAGTGCATGTAATAAGATAATTAATCCAGCATGGAGAGTGGTCTAAGTATAAAGAAATGTAAAAGAATTAAACAAACCAAATATGAATATAAGCAAACCTAATCCCCTCCTGGAGTAGGGACATGAATCCCTTCTGCAACAGCAGGGAGGAGAGGAGCTATAGTCTCATAAATACAATCTGTGAACAAATACAGGAAGGGAATAATAAAAACATTATTTATTAAACATGTCTCCTAATTACTTTTAATATTGCACTTCCAGTGTGGTTTCCAGAAAATTCTTAGAACATATTACCTTTTAAAAACCAATAACAAAACCATGCACAGCAACATACCTGAGAAAACCCAATGTAGAATGCCTGTCTAGGCCTTCCTCAAAAAATAATTTTGAAATTAAATATATGTAAACCTATATATGTGCACACACTCTCAACTCCAGGCTGCAGAAACAGAGAGGTGCTCAAAGAAAAGCTTGAAACCAGAGGAGAAGTGAAAGGATAAGGCAATATTTGTGGTGTAACAGCTGCAGATACCAGAAAGCACAGTGAGGTCACAAAGAAGAAACAAGACTCACATTCTTTAATAATGAATATAAAAAAAACCAAAACAATAAAAAATAGAGGAGTTGATTCTAGAAACAACTAATACAGAGCACAACAACCTCATCTGTAACTACCATTATCTCCAGTTATTCCTGTATCGCGTTTCCATCTAACCCAAAAAGCCACAGAGATCACTCATACATCACATTTCTGATATCACATTTACTCAATAATGAGCACACCTTAGCTGTCGTATTGACTGGTGAAAACAGAGTTTAAGCAGAATCTACTTAAGAGTTCCATTGACAAACATCTTGCTTTTTAATTGCCCGCAAGTTCTGTGCTGCACAACACACACAAATTTGTAAGAATGCAATCAAAATCTTAGCAAGGTCTGATAGAATTTAGGTGCAATTAAATTCACCTTTAAACACAGTGACTCAAAGAAACGCAGGAGGTAAAAGTGCCTCTTGTACTATGAACCTCCTGTTCTTTTCCAAATCAACAGCTTGAATTATTTATCCTCATCTGAGCCAAGAGATCCCATACCTCTCAGTCAATAGAAGCCTTATGAGGAGATTCAGCAGTCAATGCACAAATCGAAGTTCTCATCTGATTCTGAGTTTCTGTGCCTGTTGTCCCAGAAGATTCCACATAACTTCATCAGCTGTTTTAGCAGGTTGGCTCCTGCAATGGCTCTGCTCACTTTGAAACTTGCTGGAGGAGTTATTTCAGAGTTACAGTAATCTGCAGAAGTGCATATTTTTCCTTTTAAAATTAATTTTGATGACATTTGATTTGTTCTGCCTCCAACCTATTGAACACCTTCTGGAGATCTTTTTCACCAGCTGCTACAGAGGCAAATAGCAAGGAAAGGCAATTTCAACAGAACCACATCATGAATGTGGTTTTTCAGCCATGCCAGTTGACAGGTTTGAGTGGTATCAAAAAGACAGCAGATGTGATTTTGCCTAAGATCCACGCACCTCCAGAAACTACCTCACTGTACTGCTCTGCTAAAAGACCTTTGGAATGTAAAACAGTTGTAAAACACAGATAAATCCAGTGGATACACACAGTTATATAAGGAAGATTTTACACGAGTGCCCTTTTTGATGAATGCTATAGATGGCCTGCCCTCGTTGAAGAAGAGTCTTTTGTTCCAGAATCACCCTGTGATTCTTGTAATAACCTTGGCTGATGCTCATGCTGTGGCCTGTTGGGAGTTTCTGGAGCATTCAGCTGATAGGATTCCTTTGTCTCAGTCCTCAGACATCCTAAATGCCTTAAGCAAGAGTCTCGCATCTTGACAAAGTTCAGGTAAGTGCTTTCGCTGGAAAAACAGTACAGTACCGGGTCGGCGATGCAGTTAAATGTAGTCAGCAGGAGAGAAGTATGGTAGATGTTAAATATTTTGCCAGCAAATGAGCAGTTGCTCTCAAACACACTGCGAACTACAAGTAGGATGTGGTATGGTCCAAAGCAAACTAAAAAAATGAAGACAGTGCTCGAAACCAAACGTTTAATTTGGAGTTTCTTCTTCTTTTGAGTGCCGTGACTTCTGTGGACAACTCGTAAAATGCCACAGTAAGAGAAGGCCAGCAGAAAGAAGGGGAAAAGGAAGCCAGCAGAGAAGCGGTAGTAATTGATACTGTGCTCCCATTCTTTGATGGGGTAATGCTCAAAGCACACCACATGGCTCTCGGCATCCATACTGATCTCCCCGTGCACAAAGACAAATGAACATGTCACTATTTCTTTGGTCCAAATAATGGCACTCACAATCATAGCAGCCTTCATTGTCCGAAACTGATGAAACCGAAAAGGGTGCACGACTGCCAGATAGCGGTCAATGGAGATGCAGCAGAGGAAGCCCACACTGATATAGATATTCTCATACAAGAGAATGCCACAGATTTTGCACAGCAGTTCATCATATGTCCAATTGTCATGCTGCAAAACGTACTGGATCCAAAAAGGCAAAGAAAATATGTAAAACAGGTCTGCTACGGTCAAATTGCAAAGGTAGATACCCAACTCATTTTTAGCCTTGATCTGTAAGTACCCGTAGTACAGTGACAGGCAGTTAGCTGGGAATCCTATGATAAATACAAATATGTACACCACAGGGGATAATGTCTGGTGAATATTATGATCAATAATGCACTTTTCAGTTGCGTTCTCTGTGAAATTCAACATCTTCTGCCTCTCAACATACACCATTAATCAGTGTCCCAAATGAATAGATGTAGAACTTAATTTCATCCAGTTTGAAGTACCACTTTTCATCCACAAAAACCTCAGGCTGAAGAGATGCCTTGCTGCAGGATGTTAATAACCTGGTGGTAAAACGTATGAAAACCTTGAGGAGGAAAATCATTATCAAACGATCATTTTTCAGTGAGATGCCTGTTCTAAATTTTCTTTCAGTATTTAACAGAAGATAAAGCCTGCCTGGGAAATCATGATTCGTGTCAGTAAGCCCTAGGAGTGTGTTCTGTCAAAGAA